GCCCCGCACCCCGCCCCCAGCCTCGAGCCATTAGCCTCTCGGCGCCTGGGAGGCGACCACCCCCCCGCAGTCCGGTACCTCGGTGCGAGCGCGGCGCGGGGTCTCAGTCCCGGAGGCAGATCGCAGGCGCAGCCAGCCCCACGGCCATGACTCTCCCGCCGCCGCCGCCGCCGCCGCCGCCCCCGCCGCCGCTGCGAGACCGGCTGACGGATTAGCCTCTATTTTTAAGCCATGACACGCACGTCGAAGCAGGGCTCATATCAGCGTGTGTGTGTGTGTGTCGGTGACACGCAGAGACACAGCCTCACACCCAGCGGTCCGAGTGGACGCGCAGCGTGGGCTCGCCCGCGGGTGTTTGCAGACCAGACACGGACCACAGCCCCGCCCGGTGTGCACGCCCCAGCAGACGTGTATTTTCGGAGCTGCGCCAATTACAAGGCATTTTGCTTGAAGATGACATTATACAAGTCGTCCCAGACAGCGCCTGAAACACACCCGCTCCTCCCCTGGCAGCATTAACTAATTACACAGACATGATGGTGCACCTCGCTCGTCCATTTCGTATCAAGAGCACCATGTCATAAATGACACCGATCTGTAGCCCTTATTAGCATTTACTATAGACCTCGTGTTTCACATAACTCCGTTTGTCCTCACCACCGGTCTGTGAGATACAGAGTATTATCAGGGTCCCCATGCTAGAGAAGAGGAGACTGAGGCTCCGGGAGGCCAAGCAATTTGCCCAGGCCACATGCTAGTTATGGGCTGAGCTGAGCTTCAAATCCTGGCAGTGGCACTCAAAGGTCACGTCCTTAACTGTTCTAGATAGTGACCCCACACCATGGAGAAGGGCACGGTGGATTTCTATCAGCTAGCCACTCCCACCAGCTCAGCTGCTGGCCGGCGCCACTTTCCCCCTGACTCTGGAAGAAATTGACGCCCAAACCGCTTCATTTGTGCTTTTAGTGAGGTTTACCTCGGCTTGCTTTTCTACTCTAATCACCTCATCAGTTACAAGATTGTCAACACGTGGAAGGCAAGGGCGGTGTTGGGGTCCCCAGTCTCTAGTTCACTGTGTGATGGCGGAGGTGGGGGAGGTAATGAATGGCATTAGATGATGCTGTTGAAAACCAGGTAGATGGCAGACTCCAGGAGAGCTGTCTGCAGGAGGGAGGCAGGAAGTAGATAAGATCACTCTGGACCTGGTTTCAGATGAGAAGACATTAGCAACTGTAGCTGAAATCAAGATTGACTGTGTTCCCTGTGGGGGTGGGAGATGAGGCTTTGATCTCTGGGTTAGGTCAGTTCTGTGCTAAAGGGGAAGTTCCAGGACAGACCAATTTCAGTCTTCTTGGCCTTTTCCTTCTGGAGAAGCAAACTCAATTCCTTTCCATGCCTTCTTGGCTCTGGAGTTTACATGAAGAAATGAAATCCTCATCATTTAAAACAAAGGCTTGGCCTGGGAGCGTTGAAAATGTACTCTGTCGTTCCAGGAAAAAAATCAGTAAAAAATTGCCATAAGTCAATGTGAAAGACCACATATTACTGGACAAATCTCATTTTAAATGACAGTCTTTAGGGTTCGTAGGTTGAGAAGATGTCGTAGATGAACTTGATCTCAACCTTTGGCAAGGCCTTCATTTCAACCCTGCATTTCACTTTTCTCAAAAAGCTGGAAAAATATGTTTTAAAGCATGCTATAGACCTCATGGGCAGATGTTTATGGGCTATTATAGAGATTGTCCATGGATCAACATCTTCATGAAAACCATTAAATTACTAGGAATCAACCCACAACTCAAGGGGCTTTATGTTTTTCTTTGTAACTAGGAGGTTTATTATGTTTCCAGATGACACCAAACTAAGGACAAGAGGGGGAGGGAGGCTGGAAGAAAGAGTTAATGGGGAGAAGGTAATGGAGAAGGTAGGACAGGAGAGGGGACGAAACTAATAGACGCAGCATGTATTGATAATTTATTATCTGTCAATTCCTTGGGCTTTCACATTTATCAGCTCATTTAATCCCACCCAATTTTTAGGTGGGTGTTATTACCTTCACTGAATACATGAGGAGACTGACGCTTGGCTAGATGAGTTTACTCACCCACAGCTAGTAAATGGCAGAGCACAGGTGGAAACCCAAGGCTATCTCATTCCAAACATGTATATTTCAAGATGAGGCTGACGAATCACATCCTTTAAAAAGCCTTCTAGATTCACTCTCTTTTTGTCTGTTTCCTTCTTTGTGTTGATACAGACATCTATCAAAGGACCTATGAACTATATATTACTTCTGTATTTCTTTAAATCTCTGCTCTCAGTACTAGAAGTCATGAATGGACACACTATATGGGGATGAACTAAGACAGGAAAATGAGGCTACTAAAAAATAGGAATAGGTCTCCAAACGGTCTCAAAAGAAATGCCTCCCTCGCCCAAAAATATTTAAATAAGAGAGAGAGGGAGAAGAAGGAGAGTGGGGGGTGGGGAAGGAAGGAAGACCAACAACCATGTGTTAAATGGTAATTCCAACTGCTACCATTAACTGTGAGCTGGGCACTACGCTAAGTGCTCTACATAGATTAGCTAATTTAATCCCATGAAGTGGATATTATTAATTCCATTTTACGGTTGAGGAAATGGGTTTAGAGTTGTGGTAAATCTACCCTGCAGCAGCCAAGTAGCTAATACGTGGGATTTGAGCATGGATTTAAACCCATGACTGTTTTAAACCAAAGCTTGTGCCTCAAATCACTGTAGCAAGTACGCATACCTAAAGAAAAAGAATAGCAATGGCTAAAACGTACCAAACCCTACTGCGTGTCAGGCACGTAGTGTAAGTTACATGAAGGAAGGCATTCTCAAGCCTTGAGCTCTGGGCCCTTAGGGGGCGTGGCTCCCACCCGCAGGATCCGCCAGGTGCGCGCGCCTAAGGCTGGCGCGGTTGGGGACGCCGGCTCCTGCACCGCGTGGCTTTCGGCTACACAGGACAAAGCAGAAGCGGCACTTGGCTTCCCGCCAACCACGCCCAAAGTGCCGCCACGCCCACTGCTCCTGGGCTCGTCCACCGGGCTCTGCCGCAAGTTTAGATGGCCTTTTCACCCGAAGGCTGCGGTAGCAAGCAGAGGACAGACAGTGGCGACTTTATTTAGCGGTGGGCGTGTGGTGTGGTGAGGGGAGGCGGGGCAGAAGACTCGAGGTGCCCCGTGTTGATTCTGACTTACTCTTCTAGTTTTCCATTCTCTCAATTCTCCCAGTGCCCGTCCGTCCTTCGGCTTCTTCCTGGGCCCCTAGTTAGCACCTTCTCTTCCCCCAGGTCCCCACGTGGGATAGGTGGGCCTGTCCTCTCAGGGGTCAGCCAGCCGGGTGTCCGGATTTCCTCTGCCGGGCTCCTGCTGGGTCTGAATTGGGGGTAACGGGGAGGTACGGGGAGGTACGCAGTCTTTTTGGTAGAGTGACAGTCTGGTTTTTGCTTCAACTCTAACTTCATCCTTCTCCACCTCTCCATCCAATGCATTCGGTAGCCCCTTTCCTTCTGGTTTACGTCAAGGTGAGCACATGTGACCACTGTGAATATTCACTCTCCTCTAAGAGCCACACGTTACAGCAATTAGCCTGACTTTGGAATGAAAATAAACTCTAGAGAGGCTAGAGCTCTTCTAGCAGAAATGAACCAGGACATTATTCGCAAATAAAGCAAGAATCAAAAGGGAAAATGCAGCAAATGTCCCTATTTAAAAAAGAAGAAAATAAAAAGAAGAGCAGCTATAAATACACATTTTGAAGTAGACTGAGAAGAAATACGCCGAATATTAAAAGAGGTAATCTCTAGCCAGAGGGGAATGACAGATAATTTCTATCTTGTGCTTTAAAAACATCTACACTTCTCAATTCTTCAGCAGTCCATATGAATTAATTTTCAATGTCCGTTCTATGAAATTGGTTGAGATTTTCTTTTTAGTAGCTTCCTGTGTGGCCAATTTTAGCAAATGTCCTGCACATGCTTGCAGAGAATAGTTAATCTCTGTTTTGGAATGGAAATTTCTATTTTTATTTTCATCCTATATAACGTTTTAAAATAGTCTATATCCTTATTTCTTTAATCTTGATATATCAGCTTTTGAGAGATGGATTAAAATCTCCCAGGTTTGGGGCGCCTGGGTGGCTCGGTTGGTTGAGCGTCCGACTTCGGCTCAGGTCATGATCTCTTGGTGGTGGGTTCAAGCCCTGTGTAGGACTTGGTGCTGACAGCTCAGAGCCTGGAGCCTGCTTCAGATTCTGTTGTCTCCCTCTCTCTCTGCCCCTTTCATGCTCTGTCTCTGTCTCTCGAAAACAAGTAAATATTTAAAAAAATTTTTTTTCCCAGGTTTATGGATTTGTTAATCCCTTGGTCTAATTCTGCCCTTTTTTGTGGTACTAGATACATAACATTCACAGGCTTACAAAAAAATGATTATTTATAACTTAAAAAATGTTTATTTTGAGAGAGAAAGAGAGAGAGCATGCCAGGGAGGGGCAGAGAGAGAGAGAGAGAGAGAGAGAGAGAGAACCCCAAGAAGGCTCTGTGCTGTCCGTGCAGAGCCCAACTCGGGGCTCTATCTCATGAACTGTGAGATCATGACCTGAGTGGAAATCGAGGTCTGCTCGGTCCACTTAACCGACTGAACCACCCAGGCTCCCCTATAACTTTTTTTAGTTGGTGAGTCGTCTAAAACTTTAAAAAAAAAAATCTTTGGAATACATGTATATACACTTCATTTTATTTTAAGTGTAACTCGTATAAACTATTTATAACTAGGTTTAAAAAATCGCTATTTTAATAGTGATTCTCGTTTTGTATTTATTGTGATTACTGATGTATTGAAAGTAATTTCTGCCATCTTATTTTGTGTCTTTTTCAATTTATCATGCTTTCTCTCTCTCTCTCACACTCTTTTTTCCCTCCTTTCTTTGGTTGGGTTTACCTAGGTTTTTTGTTCTCTGTCAATTTTTAAGTTAAACAAAGTCTACGTCTAATTGGTACTTTCACTCTCTATGTGAAGATTTTTATTTTAATTTCCTTCAGAAATACTTTTTCTCCCATCTTTTTTGTCATTATTATCCAGTACTTTGAGTCCAGCCTTAGAAAAATTTCTTTGGCAGTAGCTTGGTTGGTTGAACACCCGACTTTTGATTTTGGCTCAGGTCATGATCCTAGGGGTCCTGGGAGACCTGCTTAAGATTCTCTCTCTCTCCCCCACTTACCCTCTCCCCCGCTCATGCTCTCTCTCTCAAAAAAAAAATTCTTTGTTTTCATGGTCATCAGTCCCATAACACGCATAAAGATTGATGTTCTCTGCAGGGGCGCCTGGGGGGCTCAGTCGGTTGAACATCCGACTTCAGCTCAGGTCA